AGAGAACAGGGGAACTGCACTTTGTTTCTAGACAGGTAGGTATGGGATGTGGTAGTAGGACCATTGCTCCTGTACCCAGGGGAATCTGGAGACCCAAAAGGGAAGTTGCATCAAAACTAAAATTAGGGCCAGTTATGTTAGCATCCCATCCAGGAAATAAGTGTGACGAGTAGATTATACTGTGGGAATTATTCCATGTCAGGGGATATCCAGCACAGAAGTTCTCAAACTCTTTTGGATTGTGTAACCCCGTTGAAGTTTCTCAGGGGGCAGATCTGGGAGGAGGGAAGAGCGTAAAGTAGTGCAACTGCTTTGGTACTTGCTCCACTCAAAGTTTAAAACCAACTGCCTAGTAGTTACAGCAGCATTTCTATTCAGGCAGCAGTGATACAGTCAATTGACTTCATGGCTCATTGTAATCCACCTGATTCCTTCTAAATTCTTCATACCACAGGTGTTAAGGACCCTCTTTCCTTTTTAAAGGTTTTGATATTCCACTAATCAAACTATCCTTCCATCTGCAATTCTGCAGTGTGTTAGCTGCTCCCAGTAATGCAACTCCTTTTTCAGTCCTGCAGACTGTTTTTAACTCTAGCTAAACATGTTAACACAGAATGGAAACATTAATTCAGGTGTGGAAATAACTTTCAGTGAACACTGGATGCACAGTCAAGATGCTCAATAAGGCTAGATTTTGTTTCATACATCTGAAAAAGGAGATGTACATTTAATTCTACAAGATTAATGAAATGACATCTTTTGATTCTTTTTTGCTTAGTTTGTTGTGTTTTTTATACATAGTATATAATATAGCAAAGTAATGCACATTCCAATAAAGTTGCATTTGTTTTTGCTTCAATCTTAAACTGAATAACACAGCCCTGGGCCCTTAGCTTATTTGTAAAGCTTCTAGTTTCTTTTTAATTGGAGAAAAATGTGTTGTGTTATATGTGATGAGGCAACACACCATCTACACCCCTTTTCAAAATCCTAGATCTGCCCGTGATACTGCTTAAAATTCTGTTCACCCTTATTGCACTGTGATATGGATAATAAAAGAATAGCGCTTTATGTCACTACAGCCACACTAAGTAAGCTCAGGCTGATTTGCTATGGTATCCCAGTGTTTCACCCTTTTCCCAATGGTGACTTCTTCTGTGAAATCAAAAAAGGGTGAGACTCTTACACACACAAGGGTAAATATATACCCACAGTAACAATGATGAGCTTGAATCATGTGTCTATCAGTGTTTTTTTGAGAGGCTGAGCTGGTGGCTCTTCATGGTACCGTTTCCCCTGCTCTTGTGGCACAATATAGTCTTTTACATGTTTGCAAGGGCTTGAACTCCATGATCTGGGAAGTCCTTTTCACTCTTCAGTCTCTCATACTTGACCTTAAAGCAGTGGTGTGCAATTTCTGGCCTACAGAGCCATGCTATCTGACCTCTGGGGCTCCTCATGGGTCCAGCAATTTGACAACAGGTGAACAGTTAGCAGTGCTTATTGCTCAGAGCCACAACAATCAGTGTTGCCACCATCCCACTGTCACCAAGTTTCCAGACCCAGAGGAAGTCCTGCAGTCTGAATGGCATGGCCCCGCACATCAGATCACACTGGCCTATGGTCTTTCCATGTCTGGATCTGGTGTGCAGGGTTGGGTTGGTGTATGGGGTCACATGACATGACACATTGCACCCATGGACCAACCCTACATGCTGACCCTGAACATAGGATCTGGACTTTGCACTGGCTCCACTCCACCCCTCCAGCCTGTGGGGGCAGAGAGGTTGAACATCGCTGCCTTAAAGTGTCAGGGCCAGATCCTATTCCACACATTATATGCCTAAGTGGACCTAGATCCTATTCCACGCTGACAAAGATCCTGGGAAACAAACAGTTGATGCAAAAAGTACACGGGTCCTCCTGCACCTCAGTGCATTTCAGTGATTTAGTCCTGGCTGAAGTGACGGCAAGGTACTTAGACATGCATGCACTTTTGTCAGTGACTTAAGCAGGATGAATTACAATCACGTTTGAGTGCCTAAAACATGGAATAGAAACTGGCCCTAAGAGTGTGCATGTATGGGGGAGAGAAAGATTTCCCTTTCTTTAGACTGTAATAAATCTTTCAGCACTCATTCTCTCTGTTGACTTTCATGATCAATAAAAGGTCAAGACCCATGAGCTGAGAAACACTGCATCAAAATATTTTATCTTATTCTATAGCACTTTTAGTTCTAGCCCAGAGGATGGAGGGCCTATGACCATTTAAAAAATCATTTTAATTGAACATTTGCATTTTCCTAATATTTTATATATTTTAAATAGTTAAATTGCTTGAACCACAGACCACCCCCTCCCCCCCCAGAAAACATCATTATTAAAATTACTGAGAAAAAGCATTAAGAAAAGATATAAAGCTGGTACCTCAGCAGCAGTAAGCAATGTGTTTATTGGTGCAGATATGCAGTTGTTTCTAGCCTCGCTCCAGGCCTTGTCACGACACACATAAGTTATATTTCCTCTCATGGGACCGTTTAAAATCGGACAAGATTTTGTTATTCTGTCTCCTTGCTTTCCAATGCCAACACTGCTTGAGCAAACCACTTTAGCTGTGTCTATATTGAGAAAAAGAGAAGAAAGAATGAAAAGAAATGGAATTCACCATCTTACTCATATTTTCCTTATTTGGGATCATTTTCCACAAGGATAGTCTCCAAATATATATATATATATTCCCACAGCCCTAAATGTGAAAGGCTCACAGACATTAATGAATGAAAGTTGGAAACTCTTCTATAGGACAGGAAGGTATTTTTATCTCCAGTATTGTGATGGAAAACTGAGACACAGAGAACTGAGTTATCTAGAGGTCACAGGAAGTACATGGCATTTCAGAGAAGAAAAACAAGATTTTCAGTATCTTATGGGTATAAACCCCACAAAGTTGAGAACTGTTTGGATCTAGGATTCTTATTTAAGACCATCTTAATCAGAACCCTCTAAAGGATATAAGCTTTGGGAATCTGCTCAAAAGCATCTCAAAATCTGATTGCTGTAGCTCCTAGGAAAAAATCAGAGATGCACATATCCTTCCAAGCCTTCTGAAGCCCGGAGAGAAGCTCTGCTGTTTCAGCAAGATTGACGTAGAAACTCAAACACCTTGTGTTACGTATTTATTGTCATTGAATGCATCTCCACACCTGCACATTTCAGGTGGGCCCCAAAAGATGATAGATGAAATACATGCATTCATTTTATTTATTTATAAAGTGTATTTTACTTATGAATGTCTTTCAGGGTACTTATATCTCAAATGAAACCATTTAGAAACCCTGTGTTAGCATTCACATTTTTGAGTGGCAAACTGACCCATGCCCACATTTGTAAGGTTTGTCCATTCAACTGTCCCCTGCATTCACTGGGATGGAGAACATTTCGTACGTGTGGATGCAGCACCGGAAACAATGGCAGCCTCATGCTGACTGAGCCCTTTCAGTTCTACTGCAACACAAATAGCAAATATAGACTAAGGGTCTGATTGTAAATCCTGGGCTGCCTCCAAAATCTGATGAACAATGACTCTCGCCACCAGTCTGACAGGACCAGTATAAATGCTATGGATCATTCATGTGAGTAATAACCTTCATGCCCTGGCCACTAAGGTGTTTAAATGAGAGCTGCATGTACAGCAGTTATGTGACCCTGAAATAGTGGTAGGTATTTGCCACCTCCAACTTACCGCTTTTCTAATGTAGGCATTATCCATTAGAGGAGGCTCATTTCTCCTACAATCTGAAACGATCTGAGAATGGGATGTCTCCTTGATTCCTGCAGTAGCTCTGAGCACCAGGGGCGCTTGTACACGTTATGCGTTGCGTACACACATGTTACTAAAAACTGCCATTTCACTAGGTCAGTTGCGTGAGCAAATATATGTGCACAATTTTTTTTGGTGGTAGATTTTGATTTATCGTGGCAAATTAGACCACCTCTGACATGTTTTAGTTTTATTCCCCCCAATTCAGGGGCTGATCCGCGCGAGTAGAAAGACCATGACCATTCTAGGAGTTGCAGTAGTTTGTTTGTGCAGTAGTTCCTTCCTCCCATCCCTACCCGATCAGCATGAATACTTTACCGCCGTGCGCTGTCCGAGAGCTTGGCACCATAGTGATGCTGCTGACAAAGCAGAATTTTTGTCCTGGGGGAAGTTCAACACTTTGACATTTTCCCTCTCCCAAATCAGAATGGGAAGTTGAAATAGCAAAACTTTTCATGAAACAAAAACTTCCATAGGAGTTGCAATTCAGTCACATTTGTAAACACGAATTTCCAGCTGACATGTAGCTGTGTTCACCTGAGCTGCTTTGGGACCAGTGGGAGCTGTCGCTGGAGTGCACTAAGTCCTTGTTTCTTCCTAGATGCTGAGCTCCCTGGTCTGACACTTCTCAGGATGCACCACAACCTCTCCCTAAATCTTGTAGAAGTTGAACTGCTGCAGTGCAATATGGGCATTCTTTGACTGTGCTGCATCCTGAGAGATGTAGTCTTGATGGGGAATCAAGCCCAAAAGGAAGAAGGGTGAGTGAGGCCCCCAAAGTACAGCTCCCATAAGACATTGTGGCAGCTCAAGTGGAAACAGAGTTGCATACTGAACTGAGTTAGAAGCAAACCATTTGCTGGGGTCATCTAGACCCAGCACTCTTTCGTGCTTATGCAGGGGGTCGGACTCGATGATCTATTGAGGTCCCTTCCGACCCTAGCATCTATGAATCTATGAATCTATGAATCAAAGCACTTTGCTTTAATTCTGACACTTGCAGAATAATTAGCGTTTTCTTGTGGAATCCACATTGTCCATCAAAAAAAGAAAAAAAAAACCCCAAAAAACCTGAGAGAAAATTCCCAGTCTACTGTAAATAAAGCCCAAGCTGGTGATTTAGGTAGCCTCAGTGCTACCTTACAGGGCCTCTGATTTAACAAATGCATGAATATTTTACATTCAAATGCTCCTTATCATTGCTAAGATTTCATCCTACCAGGGATAAGTTGTAGTTTCATTTCAGGACTTCGAATGGTTCCGTTGATGCGGTTTTGAAAGGTGCAATACGCCAAAAGATCTTTCTCGATGTTGCATGTCTTTTCTGTGTAATTATACACATAGCACATCTGGTTATTTTCTGCCACTGCAAAGAAATGTTTTAGGTATGTCAATATTAGATTTTGGTTCCATGGACAAGAAAAAGCAAGAAGTACTTTTAAAACTCTAGTTTCCTAATGCAATGAGATCCTCTAAGGGATAGATTCCTGATTTTCCAGCTAGTGATCTTCTCTGCTTATGATCCAGCTGTCCTACCCCTTATGCCATGCCTTCTCTCTCCTGATGCATAATGTAGCACCTTTTTGGCTTTGTGGCATAAGTGTACATTTTTCCTAAGTCATTCTTTATTGTACAGAAGTAGCAGGAGCTGGAAATTTTTGGAGGATCCTCTTTTGTTTGTTCCTGTCCCTGCTTGTGCTGCAGACATTCATCTAGGGCTCTTAATCCCAGGTTCTGCACCACCCTCCATTTGTCTCTGTTTGCCTCGGGTCAGTTGAACTGCTGAAGGTGTATGTGTCTTCTGTCTGTTAATACTGACACACAGAAAGATTTTGAAGCATACCATCAAGGAATCAATCTCTATGCAGTTGGACAATAACAAAGTAACCAGGAACAGACACCATGTCTTTGTAAAAACAAATCATGCTTGACCAATCTGATTTTCCTTATACAACAATGTGACAGGCAGTGGATGTGATATTCCTCAATTTTAGCAAGGTTTCTGATGCTGTCTCCCATGCCATTCTCACGAGTAAGCAAAGTAAATGTAGTCTAAATGAACCAGCTATAAGTGGGGTGCACAACTGGTTGGATCAACATGCTCAAACAGTAGTCATCAATGACTCAATGTCAAAAAGGGAAGACATTTCAAATAGGATTCCCCAGGAATCTCTATCTTGGTAAATGACTTGGAGGATAGGATTGTGTACACACTTAGTACGTTTCTAGATGACACTAGATACTTTGGAAGGTAGGATTAGGATTTAAAATCACTTTGATAATAATAAGGAAAACAGTTTTAATTGGATGACATTCAATTATGGAAGTGCAAAGTACTTCCCTTAGGATGGCACAATTACATGCACAAATACAAGGTGGAGTACGACTGGCTAGGTGGCCAGGCTGTAACACTGAATATAACTGAATATAAGTCACTGGTGTGCTATTGCAAAAAAAAAAAAAAAGGCAATGGCATACTGGACTGTATTAACAGGAATATCATCTGCAAGTCATGGGAAGTGGTTCTTCCACTATTTAGCACTGGTGGTGCCTAAGCGTGAATATTGTATCCAGTTCTGAATGCCACACTTTAAGAAAGACAAAGACAAACTGGAATAAGTGCAGCAGACACCGACTAAAATGATTAGAGGATTAGGAAACACGAATTGGAAGAAGTGGGAGTATTTAGCTTGAAGAAGAGAAGCCTGAAAGCAGATTTCATTATAGACCTCAAATACCAGAAAGGTGGTTATAAAGAGGGTGGTGATGGGCTATTCTCTGTGGCCAACAGTTCAAAACTTGATAGGAACAAAGGAAATTTAGGCTGGATATTAGGAAGAATTTTCCAACTGTGAGGGTTATGCTTTGAAACAGATTATCTAGAGAAATTGTATAATCTCTAGGGCTGTGCGAGGCTTTGGATCGTGCTTCAGATCTGGGGCCACTTCAGATGCTTCTGCGTCTGAAGCAGCATGCCCGGAGCAAAGCACTGGCTCATTCAACCTGTCCGAAGCGGTTTGGAGCTTCCAAAGTGTTTCAGAAAAGCTTCAGACGCTGAAAGTGAAAGTTAGAAGAGGGATGGGGAATGGGGGAGGGAAGGAGAGCGGGAGGTGGGAGGAAGACTGACATGTGTAGGTGGCCAGTGAGAAGGATTTATCTCTGGCTGCCTTTCCAATGACAGTGTCTGGGTGGAGGTACCTAGAAACAGTATAAAAGCCTCTGTCTGGAGGCGTGCTGTGCCTTTTGCAAGCATATTCCCACTGAGGAACTGGGTGAGAAAGATACCCTCGGGCACAGGCACCTCAGCTTGCTTGCTTTACGCAGTAGTTGAACTTGCCTGCTCCTTTTTGTTGTTAGAAAGGATTGGGTAGGATCTTAGCTGAGCTTAGCATCTCTTAGTACTATTCAATTCATTTCTTTCGATTTATTTTTGCTCTTTTTTTTGCGTGCAAACTTTGAAAAAAGAAAGCTGTGTTTTCCCTGCCAGCGTGATCCATCACTGTGGAGGGAGGCACACAGATTGCACGCATGCATGCACGCGCGCACACACACACACACACACACACACACAATATAAAGAAGAAAAATCAGATATACATAGGAGAAGAAGACAGACAGAGAGCGCACAATATTTACATAACTTAACACTGAAGCAAACAATGAAAGAAGAGTTCAGTGCATGCACACAACAGAGGGAATAAAACACACAACACAAAAGGATTCACACACACACACACACACACAGACCTTTTGCAACACAGGAAGGATTAACATGAAGCGTGCTGGAAAGGCAGGTGCCAGGTCTTCTGGCAGGGGAGGGAGAGGGGGCAGAGGGAGAGCTAGAGCTGCAAGCCCCCTCAACCCCCCCCAACACAGATGCCTTCTCTTCCCAAGCAGCCCTGACATCGGTGCTGCCAGTGGAAGCCAGGCAGAGGGAGCAGTGTCTGCACCTGATGTCCCCGCACCTGCACCACCTTCCCTCAGTCCAGAAGTGGGCACCAGCCATGGAATCAGTGTCTCCTTCACCCCAATGTCATCTCTCAGCATGAGCCTCCCACTGCCAGAGGAGGAGCTGGAACCAGGGATGCTGAGCGTGCTGGCTCAGGCAATTCTGGGGACTGAGGGAGAATCAGTTTGTGCTCCACACCCCTCACGTTTCCCCTAGACCCAGGTCTCCTCTGGAAAGCAGTACCTTGGAGGAGGCTGAGGTTGTGGAGGCAAGTGGCTCAGATGAGGCAGCTTCTCCTGCTGTTGAGCTTCAGTCTGCTGAGGAGTGGGAAAAGGTAGGATCCTCAGCATCAACCCAGAAGCGGGGGAGTAATGTAGTGTGGGAGCATTATGAGCTGACAGATGATCCCAGGTTTGCCATCTGCCAGCACTGCCGAAGGCACATGAGCCGTGGCAAGGATGTGATACACTTTTCCACCACAGCGATGCTGCTGCACCTGAGAAGGCAGCACCCCCTCGCCCTTCTTCCTGCTCAGCCTGGCACCAGTGCGAGTGTGCTGAAAGGGAAGTCCCCCACTTGCTCCAAAGCCCCCTTGCCCCCAAAGCAGAGACAGGACACCCTGGACCAGTGGGGGAAAGGTGGACAGAGGTGGGGGCACATTCCCAACGCGAGCGAGATCACCCAGAGCACTGGGGAGATGCTTGTGCAGTTCATAGGCCCAGCTCTGAAAAGTGCTTTGCATTGTAATTTGTTCCCTCTCAGGATCAGCCCTGAGAGACTGGAGGCAGAGTGTTGTTCTGGTGAGGAACGTGCCCCCACAGTAGTCGGGTTTTGTTGTCTTCGAAAGAATCTGGGGTGCAGTTTGTGGGGGTGCAGGAGATAGTTGGCAGGTTTTGTGTTTCGAGCTGTAGGAAGTTGGCTTCAGTTCTGGTGATGAGGTTAGGTGCTTGTTTGAATGTACAAACCACTTTTCAGAGCTGGGCCTGTGCACTGCACTTCATCAGCCTCCTAGATAGTAGGAACAAAAACTGTCTTTTTTGCCTGTATTGCGGGCCAGGCCAGCCTCTGGCTTCTTTACTATTCCTTCCATCCAGGACCACCTGCAGGTACTTCCTCAGCCTGACAAAGGGGTTTTCAACCCTAAAGCTTCCAAAGATACATTTTTAAGTACTTTTCCCCACCCCCCCATAATACACATATAGACATAAAAACACAAGATAAGCCATCACACACCATGAGTAACATAGGAGGCCTCACTGGGGCACACTGCTGTGTTGTGCAAAGGCCCCAGCACCAGGAAGGGCACACCTTAACACACACACACAGTGTCACCCACCCATGTCACAAGCTTTGCCTGCTAGTAGCCAGAGGTGCGAGGCCCCAGAAGACAGACTCCCTCAGTGAGACACACACAGCTGGCAGGCTTTGTGGCCTCAGCAGGGGCCACCGCCCCTGCAGTTTTCACCGCCCCCCTGCATTGTAACACATGCATGTGACATGAGTTTTGGTTTCAAGAACTTGGGGTGCAGTTCCTCCCAAACCCCTGCACCGATCTTCTTGAAACTTGGCAGGCTTCATGTGTGGCAGGCCACCACCCCTGCAGTTTTCACCGCCCCCCTGCATTGTAACACATGCATGTGACATGAGTTTTGGTTTCAAGAACTTGGGGTGCAGTTCCTCCCAAACCCCTGCACTGATCTTGTTGAAACTCAGCAGGCTTTGTGGCCTCATCAGGGGCTATCACCTCTGCAGTTTTCACCACCCTGTGGTATAACACATACATGTGACATGAGTTTTGCTTTCAATAATTTGGGGTAGCGTTTCCCCCAAATCCCTGCACTGATCTTGAAGTTTGGCAGGGTTCACACTCTCAGCAAAGGCTACCACCCCTGCATGTTTCACCCAAATCAGAGACAAAACAACCAAGTTATAGATATTTCATTGATCCCCCATTATACCCTATGGCCGGATCGAAGCGGGAAACTGATCTGGAGCTCCGGATCGGATCCCTGGCATCTGAAGCGGACGGATCTGAAGACAGATCTAATACCTGCCTACTCGCACAGGCCTAATAATCTCCATCCTTGGAAACTTTTGGCAACTGGATGAGACCATTTAGACAGGGATGATCCTGCCTTGAGAAGGAGATTGTACTAGATGACCTCCAGGTCCCTTCCAGCCCTAGATTTCTATATTATGATTTTATTATGTTTTTAGTAAAATTAATTATAACTGGACTTTGTTACATTTGTGATCCTCATTTATTTTAGCTATGGACGTAGAACAAATATATGACATTGAGGGGGTTACTGCAAATGTTTTGTCCTTCTACATTATAATAGGGGTGCTTACAAACATGGGGAAAAAACCCCCGCAGCTCTTGACTTTCAGCTCAGCGTGCCCCTGCACCAAGCGTAGTGCATGTCTAGAAGAGGAATTGCATCAGTTTGACCTGGCTCATCCAGCGTCTGTACAGGTCATGTGCAGAGCTTTTTGGCTCTTTTATCTAATAGCTGATTGAATCACCAAAAAGCATGCAAGCTATACAAATGCTGGGGAACCGGGTCAAACAGATGTGATTCCTCTTCTGACAAAGCACTGTTTTGCTTTGTTTTCTTCCGTGTCTGTCAGCACCCTAGATGTTCATTGTTTTTTTTTATTCTCAATACCATGATTTAGTTATTTTTGGAGTGATTTGGGAATATCTAGTATACAAAACACATTGAGCAAACTGTACTAAATGCAAAAGCACAGAATCACAGGCCTTCACACTGGAGAAAAACCAGTTGTCTATATCCCTGGGAAATGTAAGATAAATATTTGCATTATATTGTGGATTACTTGTGGAATAAATTTGACATTGCCCAAGGATTGGAGTTTTCATGGCTGCTTTTGAGAGACTGCTTCATGGCTTAATAGATCTCCATTTTAAAGAAATGTTTCCTTACAGGGCACCTCAAATATTGCTTAATTGTATGCCCTTGCACCTAAACCTGTGGGCCATCCTGTCTCTTCCCTTTGTCTTTTAATTGTATTTTATATATTTCTAGATGCTTATATTATCAACATGAACACTTGGGTTTAGTTACAGGGACCGAACTGAAAAATCTCACCCTACGTTTCAAACATATAAAAACAAATGTCTAGGAAATGTTGGCAAACTGTGTAAAACTGATCTGAAAGTCACTGGTGAAGAATAATGGTGAAATCCCAGAAAACACTTTGATGACTAACATTTTGTGTTCATACTACACACATTCAAATAAATGGTAAAATTCCCATTAACTGCCAAAGAGACAGATTCAGATTAATTTATACCTTCCGGATTAATTTATACCTATTAGTATTAAGCTTTTGCCAGGTGCTTCATGAAAACTGAACAACAGATCCCTGCTTACAATCTAAAATGAGATATAATGCAATGATTAAAGGAAACAAAGGACAGTACTCCAGATACGGCTTCACCAGTGTTGAATAGAGAGGAATAATCACTTCCTTTGATCAGCTGGCAACACACCTACCAATGCAGCCCAGGATGCTGTTAACCTTGGCAACAAGGGCACATTGTTGGCTTATATTCAGTTTATTGTCTACTATAGCCCCCAGGTCCTTTTCTGCAGAGCTGCTGCCCAGCCAGTCAGCCCCCAGCCTGTACTGGTGCATGGGATTCCTCTGTCCTGAGTGCAGGACTTTACACTTGTCATTGTTGAACCTCATGAGATTTCTTTTGTTCCACTCCTCCAATTTGTCTAGGCCACTCTGAATCCTAGCCCTACCCTTTAGCATATCTAGTATTCCCCCAGTTTGGTGTCATCTGCAAACTTGTTGAGGTGGTACTCTATAACATCTTCCAGGTCATTGATGAAGAAATTGAACAAAGTGGGCCCCAGGACCAACTCCTGGGGCACTCCACTTGATACTGGCTGCCACTTAGACATTGAACCATTGATTACTGAGCCCAATGCTTCAGTCAATTATCTATCCACCTTACAATCCATTCATTTTGCCTGTACTTCCTTAGCTTGTCTGCGAGAATGTTGTGGGAGACCATATCAAAAGCCTTGCTAAAATCAAGGTACATCACATCCACTGGTCTCCCCACATCCACAGAGCCAAGTCACCTCATCACAGAGAGCAATCAGGTTGGTCAGGCATGACTTGCCCCTGGTGAATCCATACAAACTGTTCCTAATCTCCTTGTTCTCCTCCAAGTGCTTAGAAATGCATTCCTTGAGGATCTGCTCCATGATTTCTCCAGGGCCTGAGGTGAGGCTGATTGGTCTATAGTTCCCTAGATCTTCCTTTTTTCTTTTTCTTAAATATGGGCACTATGTTTGCCCATTTCCAATCATCTGGGACCTCTTCTGATCTCCATGAGTTTTCAAAGATGATGGTCAATGTCTCTGCAATCACATCAGCCAACTCCCTTAGGTGCATCCCATCAGTCCCATGGACTTGTACACGTCCAGCTTTTCTAAGTAGTCCCTAACCTGTTCTTTCACCACTGAGGGCTGCTCACCTCCTCCCCAAACTGTGCTGTCCAGTAGGGCTGTGTGAAACGGCACTGTTCCATTTCGACTTCAGTTTCAAGGTCTGGAGGGAACAGTGTTTTGTATCGCATTTCATTTCGAGTTGAAACAGTGAGGCTGTTTTGATGCTGTTTCGATGTTACGCCTGACCATGGGGCTGGGGAAAGGAACTCAGCCCAGTTGGGCTGAGTTCCCAACCCCAGCCCCATGATTGGGCTGGGGAAACTCAGCTGGGCTGACTTCCCATCCCCTACTCGATCTTGCACTAGGGATGGGAAGTCAGCCCAGCTGGACTGACTTCCCACCCCAAGCGCTATGGTCGAAATGTTTTGACTATCCTTGTTATGTTTTGAGGCTATTTCAACGCCCTTTGTTCCGCTTTGATTTTGCTGTTTCGACCTTGAAATGAGTCAAAACGGTATTGAAATGAAATGGCTGGTGAAATTTCGCACAGCCGTACTGCCCAGTGCAGTAGTCTGGGAACTGATTTGCCTGTGAAGTCTGAGGCAAAATAGGCATTGAGCACTTCAGCCTTTTCTGTATCCTCTCTCACAAGGTTGCCTGCTCCAATCAGTAAGGGACCCACACTTTTCCTGGTCTTCCTCTTGCTACCAACATACTTATAGAAACCCTTCTTGTTACCCTTAACATCACTTGCTGGCTGCAACTGCACTTTGGCCTTCCTGACTTCATCCCTGCATGCCCGAGCAGTACTCTTATACTCTTCCCTAGTTGTTTGTCCAAGTTTCCACTTCTTATAAGCTTCCTTTTTGTTATTTAGTTTACTGAAGAGTTCCCTGCTAAGCCAAGCTGGCCTTCTGCCATTCTTGCTAGTCTTTCTGGACATCAGGAACCCTCAGCCAGGCTTCTTTAAAGCACTGGTTCTCAAGCTTTTTTGTACCAGGCCCCATGTGTAAACATCGAAAGGCAGTCCTGGCCCTTTGCCCCTCACTCTCGATGTGCTGCCCCCTGCCCTCAGGTATGGGGCAGGGTGGGGTGTATAAGGCATGGGGGGGCCCCAAGCAGCCCCTTGTAGGCTGCAACTCTGCTAGCCTGCAATGGAAAATCTACAATTTCCCAAGTTTTCTCCTTTAAAGGAGAATCTATTTTTAAAGTTTGTTTGTGACCTTTTCATACATTCTTGCAAACCAATTTGGATCGTGACCCACAGCTTTAAAGTACAGCCAGCTCTCTTGGACTCCTCTCCCCCTCAGACTGGCTTCCCAGGGGATCCTACCCATGAGTTCCATCTGCGAGTTGAAGTCTGCTTTTCTGAAGTCCAGGGTCCTTACTCTGCTGCTCTCCATCCTTCCTTTCCTCAGGATCCTGAGCTCAACCATCTTGTGGTTGCTGGTGCCCAAGTTGTCATCTACTACTACATTCCCCACCAATTCATCCCTGTTTGAGAGCAGCAGGTCAAGAAGAACTCAGCCCCTAGTTGGCTGCTCCAGCACTTGCACTAGGAAGTTGTCCCCAGTACTCTCCAAAAACTTCCTGGATTGCCTGCGCATTGCTGTATTGTCCTCCCAGCAGACGTCAGGGGGATTGAAAGACCCCATGAGAACCAGGGCTTGTGATTGGGAAACTTCTGCTATTTATTTGAAAACAGCCTCATCTAGCACTTCCTCCTGGTCTGGTGGTCTATAGTACACACCCACCACAACATCACCCTTGTTGCTCTCTCCTCTGATCCTAACTTGGAGACTTTCAACAGGCCTGTCTCCAGTTTCATATTGGAGCTCTGAGCAGTCATATGGCTTTTTTACATAAAGCACAACTCCTCCTCCTCTTCTCCCCTGCCTGTCCTTCCCGAACAGGTTGTACCCATCCATGACAGTGCTCCAGTCGTGCGAGCTATCCCACCACGTCTATTATTCCAATCACATCACGTCATATGCATTCAGAACAACTGTTTTGCAAGGCCACTGTAAAACATCATATCTCTTACCATATCTTTTACCAGGAAAAAATGTAGTGCTTTGAACAGTGAAAGTAACGTTGTAGTTTTCCATTTTGTTTATGCAGCATTTCAGCTCCTGCTGGGTATTGCACCTAATAAATGCTTCAATGGGATCCACGAAAATGTTTTGCTTCAGAGGCAAAGGAACAACTTCAACAGCTGTACGGGCAGAACTTGACAAGCTTTTTTGGAAGAATGTGCAGGTATAGGTACCTGAGAGTAACAAAACAGAAACACACCTCAGTCTATCGCAGTAGAACGCAGAACGGGACACACGGAAAAATACCTGGATTGTTTTTAATGAATACCTGGACTATTTTTAATGAACAAAAATTCCTGGATTGTATTTAGCTGTAGCTGCAGGCGCAGGACACATTTACTGCATAGGAAATTAACTTTACTAGAAGCAAAATGGAGCAGCTACATGATGCACAGCCTACTCTGTAGCAAATGACTCTAATCCAAGGTAAAGTTACCCTTTGAAATACATGTAGTAACTATACTATGTGGAATAGTTACTTTATAGAAAGTGCCAGGTGTCCGTTGTGGGGTATCTGGGCTGGGCTGGCCAGGTGTTGCAGTAGCTCCTACCCTGGGCAGCTGAGTCTGCTTCTTACTCTGGAGTAAAATCCATAGTAAATTATTCTGGAGTAATCATGTTGAGTGTGCATGCTCTGCATGGCTGTGTATTATGGGTTATATGCTATGGAGTTAGATTGAGAGAGACTGCTGAAGAAACCAGTTGGGAAAAGTGAACAATGACCCTGAGACAGAGCATCCCTGCAAATACTCACATCTAGAAGGGAAGGAAAGGGATCAAACTAGGGAA